AAAAGACCAAACAAAACAATAATGCCTCATCTTTCTTTGCCTCTCTCTGCAATATTGTCAAATTTTAATGATCGTATATTTGTGTGTGTGTGTGTGTGTTTGTGGGTGTGGGTGTGTGTGCGTATGTGCATGGTGAGGGAAACAAGGAAGAAGTTGTGAGAAGTAAATTCCTGAAACTCTCCCTTGAGATTCTAATTTAATAGGTTTCAAATGAAGTCTGGGCTATTTTTTATTTGTTTGTTTTAGACAATTTTCTAGGCAATTCTAACCAATGGTCTGCTTTGAAAAACAGTCTCCTAAAATGTACTATGCTGTGTTCTCTATTCTATGTTCTTCAGTTTCCTAATCTATAAAATAGGACTTGGATTCTGGTTTTAGAAGTTCCAAAGCTCTGCTGTTTATTAGGCAATATTCTTACTCTCCGTAATAAACCACGTGCTTGTTCATTCCTTCACCGCACCCTTGTCCTTGCCCTAGCTTTTTGCTTTGCACAGAAAAATGGTTTCATTCACTTGATTCAGGAAATGATGTAGCAGTATCGGAAGCTAAAATTGAGCAAGAAGATAAAGAGGAAAGAAGATAGAAGTGAGGTTTCTGTGGAAGGTGTTTAAGGATATATATTCTGCAGTTAAACAAAGGTCTGATCCTGTACCTCCACTCCCATCCTTGCCCACTATGAAATTTTGAAATTTATGAAGTTTTGAAACACGTATCTGAGTTTCTTTGCCTGGTAAATGCTTATAATAATAGTAGTCACTTTTCAGCAAACATTATGAGAATTAAATGCATTTAAGGGCTTTTTCAGTTTATTTTCTCATTGTTTTCATTATTCAGCTACATTTACCTTAAATCTTCATTATCATGGTAAACAGCAGCCATGCACTGTAGTTTCAGGGAATGGGCTTGCTACTAGCAGAGACAGTTAGCAGAGATATACTATATAAGCCTAATCTCTTGTTAGCACATGGACATCTACCTGCCAGCTCAAGTGATAAGATGTGCCAGTTGATCATGATGACAAGTTAGATCTACTACCACTGAAATACTTGGGTAATAAACACAGTGAAGCATCTCAGCCTCAGTTAAGTGAATCTGACACAAGAGGATAAAGAATGACATCTCCATTCTCATTAAGAGATAACAGATGGACTTCGCTAAAATCCACTTTTTAGCCTAATTTCATTTGTTTAAATCTTTTGTCTGATGAGATAGCATCCTGAGAGTCATTTTAAACTGTTCTCCCTGGAATGACCATTTCTTTATCATTATTAGAACCTCCCCCTATGGGGTTCTGTTATTCTGAATGGTTTTAAATATTCATCTCAGATGAATTCTATAAATCTCCCTTTAATATTTTTTTTCCCCAAGACATGGTGTGTGGCTTTGGAAGATAAACATCATATGATGGGCTAAATAATCAAACCAAGTCAAAACAAGTTTCTAAGCTATATTCATAGTAATTTCCATTTTTTAAATTTCTCTGTGATCTTATGATTTCTACTTCCCTTTATGATCAAGAACAAAGGTGGTTTAATTGTACACTTAAAGTTTTCAAATTTATGCCACCCCAGCTAGTAGTTCACAGCTAAAATTTAAAGCTCTCTTTTGTATTCTCACCCTTGTTTGTTCTAAGAAAGAAATCTGCAAAAATTCAAACAAAGTCAGACAGATTTTTAAGCTTAGAGTCTAACATTTCTTAAGATGTTTAACATGAATTAAGCTTGTTTCTTGGCCAAAATGCACCTGTGTGGTTTGTTTAGTTTTCAATCTCTGACAAAAAGAAAAAAGAAAAAGTGAGACAACTCCCATCAACACCGATTTGAACGGAATCAATGTATGTTTGGGCACATATTTTAAATTCTCTGTGGTTCCTGAGCAAGCTGAGGCTCAGCATATGAGCACAGGTACACTGTGTTCGTTCTCCATATGGAGCCAACTGTAAACCTGAATCTGAGACATGATTGAATCACTTCTCTAAAAACATTCAGAAAATTTTATCTCATCTACGTTTTATATTTTCAGTTATTTGGTTATACTGTGTTTATAATAATAATATTAATACCACTTAAAAATCTTAACTAGTAATTTTACTAATATACATAAAGTCTTGATTTTTTCATAGGTATTTTGAAGTAATTTTTAATATCATATCCTCATTGAAGGAGGTCAGTAGCTGCATTTATTTTCACAGCATCAATGTGGAATTGCTTGAACTCTCAACATTCATCATCTTCTTTCTTACCTCTGTGCCTTTCTTTATGCATATATCAGCAGGTTCCAATTTATCCTTTGATATGCAGGTAGTCCCAGGTGCCACCAGAAAGAAAACTCCAAGAGGAGCAGGATTTATGCCTACTTTACTCCCTGCTATATCCTCAGTCACTAGATGAGTGCTTAGCAATAGTAAAGACTTAATAAATAATTATTGAATGAATGAGCAAATGAACATCTTCCCCGACTTAGCTTGGTAGCCTTGTCACCCTGCAGCTAACAGTTCAATGCCCTGGAGCAGCTGTTTTGCTATCTGTCTTTCTTGTCTACGATTTCTCAAAAATGAGTACTTTGTTTCTGTATTGTCCTGAAATGTTTCTTAAGCAAATGCTCTGTGTATTCATTGCTTTGAGCACATTTTGCTGATAACTGATAAACCTTGATGGATATTTAAGTAAAGGAATCTATCTCATTTCTAAAAGGTGGCATAGGCCTTGTGTGTGGATCATGTTTATAATCCCAGCAGGAGGATCAGTTGAGGTGAGGTGCTCGAGACTAGCCTGGGCAACATACTGAGACCCTGTTTCTCCAAAAAGAAAAAACAATAATTAGCCAGGCATGGTGGCTTGTGCCTGTAGACCTAGACACTGGGGAGTCTAAAGCAGGAGGATCACTTGAGCCCAGGAGATAGAGGGTGGAGTGAGCTATGATGGTGCCTGGGCAACAAAAAGAGAGATCTATCTCAAAGGTAACATCAATTAAGTTTAACTCTACTAGATTGTGTTTTCAGTATACGAGAAAATTCTTTAAAAGTAGTTACTGACTATACACATTAAAGAAGACTTTTTTTTGAGTTTTTTATAAAGCCTTAAATCATATAAATAGATACAGTTTTTCTGAGAAGCTTAAGGTGATAATCAGGCTTCAACATGGTAAATTATTTAAAAATTATGTCTACATCTTTCTAAATGAGGTTGACACTTCTAATAAACCAAAATCACCAGATGGCATGCTTTATTTGCTTCTTCTCTTCATGCTACAAGGGGAAACTACCATCAGGTTAAGACACTAGGGAAGAAAATACTACTCCTAAGGCAGGAAAAACATCAAAGTTTCCAGAGCTCTGTCTCTATCCAGAGCCAGAGTTTGGTAGTGTGGAAACTACATATCAACTTGACTTCGTGTTCTCTGCCTGCACTCAAGGCTGCGATAAGAAACAAACATTCTTCACTCTTGAATCTTCACTCTTCCACACAAGAGTTCTTTTTATAAGGCTTGGTAGAGGACATTTTCCTCACATCACAAAACCAGAAAAAAAAAAAAAAAAAAAATGTTTGTCTCCTGAACACACGGATTACTCTTTTTTTAATACAAATAAATTAATCATTTTTCACAGAGATATTTCCCCTTTTTCACATTAGCTGCCAGAGAGTAGAGTGGATTTTAGGGCACATTTCCTATAATTATCATCTATATTTCTCTATATGGTATGTGTGCCCATGAATCTTTCTTAACATTGATTTTTATTTTCTTTTTCAAATTCCCTTTACCCCAACTCTCTTGGAATTTATTGTCTCTGAATTTGTGTAGAACTTCGAAGGACTCATCCAGTCCTTTATAAAAAGAAGATATTCGGATGATAAGAAACATGTATTTTGCTAGGAAGTAAAATGAACATCACGTCCCTTTTCCATATTTTTGTGTGACGAAAGTTGATAAAGTAGATGTAAGCTCTCAAAGACAGTGTGGCACCAAATTTCACCATATAGCTATTGTTTAGAGACTCCATCATAGTTTTATCAAGTGCAAAGAAGAAAAAAAAATAAAATAAAAAGATTAACATGTTATTTTAACAACCCTAGACTCTCCTCCCCTATAATAAAATAACTCAAATGTTTTCACAAAATTTATGAAAAAGATTACATTGAATTTATATTGGTATAATTTTAAACATTCCATGATTACTGTGTAAAATACATTAGATTGTAAAAAACAAAACAAAATATTATCTATAATCTCTTCTACCCAAAATAATATTGATAAAGCTTCCGTCTATATTTTCCACATGTATGTGTGCATATATATGATTTAAATATGTAATTGTTTCTATACTGTATGTACTATACTATATGTATATGTGTGTCCATTTATTTAAATTATAATGTACAGTTCTTGACTTTTTTTACATACTTTTTTTTTTTATTTTTCTGAGACAGAGTCTTGCTCTGTCGCCCAGGCTGGAGTGCAGTGGCACAATCTCGGCTCACTTCAAGCTCCGCCTCCCTGGTTCATGCCATTCTCCTGCCTAAACCTCCCGAGTAACTGGGACTACAGGCACCCGCCACCACGCTGACTTAATTTTTCTGTATTTTTAGTAGAGAAGGGGTTTCACCCTGTTAGCCAGGAAGGTCTCGAACTCCTGACCTCATGATCCACCTGCCTTGGCCTCCCAAAGTGCTGGGATTACAGGCGTGAGCCACCATGCCCAGCTATCCACTGTTTTATACTAAATCTTTTCCTTTTACTTTAAAATGCAAAACGTTGTTTTTAATGGCTGAATAACGGATATAAGAATGTTTCCTTCTCGCATATCCTGAAACATTTCAGTAATTCACCACGGTGTAAGTTATTTTGTGTTGAGATGATACATTCAAAGGCTCCTTGGGAACAATAAACTAAGTTCCAATGGCAAGGTATCTAACAGAAACAGGGGCTGCTTATCACATTATTAATAGGCATAAATTGAACTCAGTCACACAAGGAAGAAATGAACAAACCCAGGCACTTACTAATCTCAGTAGCAATGATTGTTATGTTGTGCCATACACTTAATTCTCTGTCAAGTGGTGTTGCCAGCGTTATCTTCCCATCGTCTGCGTTAATGTTGAACTGCCTCTCCAGGTCAGTGTGCCGGTCGATGGAAAACCTACAAAACAGACACATCTGTAATCTACTTCAATGTTTATATGATCCATACATTCCACAGCAGACCTTTAGTAATCCTTGGAGAGCCATAGTTGCGAAGTCAAATGAATTGGGAAACTCAGTGGCATCATAATTTATAAAACAAAATGACTGAATGAGGCACAAGAAACTTAATAATTATTGTCCAAGGAGCAATTAGCTACATATGCAACATGTAGGTCATAAACTGCCATCAGTTTCAATAGATAGCATCTTCAAAAATGGATGCTGATGAAGAGTTAATTGGACAATCCATCACATTTATTGGACAGCTTATGATAATTAGCAGTTGCCACGAAATATCATATAAAACAATGAATTCAAGCCCAAAGCAGGATGGCACTAGGCAACATGTTACGTATGTCCATTCAAATAAAATATGTATTTTGTTAAACTTTCATTTGACTGTACTGAATTTATGGGATTTCATTTTGTTGGTGGCGGTGGTTGTTTGTTTTGTTTTGTTTTGTTTTCATTTTAAGTGTGTATTTAGGTTTTCTATTAATCTCAGTCCATAGAAATTGGATAGTTGTTGATTCCATGGTTGTTTTTAAATAGTTGTTTATTCTATAGTTAATGTTTTTTAAAAGTTAGAATCTATATTTTAACATATTTAAACACTACAGTCTACTAAATTAAGAATTTCAAACGGACATATTAGTAGTTCTTTTATCAAGCAAACTCGTTCAGATAAGAAAATACGTGAGATGTGTGGTGTCTAGAGCAAACTGCTTCTCAGGACCACTGAGTATCAGGGTAGTATCAAGACAAAGAAAAGAAATTATTTTCTCATGACATTTATTAATATCTTTTTTATACACCAAGATTAGTTTCCTGGCTATGGAATGCTGGACCCAATAAACTTTACGTTTTAAAGATTACAAGGCAGACTTAGAAAGATTGGCCCATAAGTAAGCAGTGATGCACTAAAACAGGATAGGATGGAGGCCCAAAGAAAGATGTATGCACTTGCATTTCAGGAAGAAAGACTGAAGAAGGCCTTCATGATTGAGTGAATGGCTTAGGAAGTGCACATGAAATCTCTCTATTCATTGATACTCATTAAACTCAAATTTGAAGCATGGTCCATGCCAGTTAACACTGAGCATATTTTTTATACATGTTCTTTATAGATACTTATTATATGACAACAAATAAGACTATGCCATTATAAGAAAATAAAAAAGTAAATTTTCCATAATCCTCCAACTATAATTTTGCAGTTAACATTTTAGTAGAGTTCATCGAAAACATTTTATATGTATGTATATGAATATGCATCTACCAATTTATATCTATACCTACCTATAAAGATGGCTAGATAAATAACCTATACAGCAAGTTACTCGTTAGATAGTCGGATAGGTATAGATAGATATATGAACAGATTTTTCCTTCTCCTTTTAGCTATTTCTTTTTCACTAGAGAAGGTACGCATATCATTTATACTAGATTCAAAGGCCATTGTAAAAAGATCTTCTTGTTAAATCCTGCCCACCAAAGAAAAGCATAATTAAAAGATTTGGAATAATAGTTAAAATGATTTAATTTTATTGACAATTGTGTATTGAGAAATCATTTGAAAAAAATTATTATAAAATGACATAATAACTGCCCATTTAGTAATGACTTAACTACAAATAAAAACTAAGACACTGACTTGTACCTATACACTAGGCATCTACAAATCCCTCCCATCCCCAATCCCCAGGATACTGGAGAAATTCAGAGAGAATTTAAGAACTGAGAGACAGGTGAATTAACAGTGCTTTCAACAAAATCCTGAACATGAGGATGTGTTTACTGCAAAGTGTTTAAATGTGTTGTATTATGGAAAGAAGACCAAAAGCCGTTTTCCTGGGGAATAATGATGGTTGATTCAACCAATGATATTCCAAGTTTAACTGTAAAATAACTAAACAGACGTGTTTTGCTTCAGATATCATGTACACTCTGACTCTTAAAAGAGCTAAAAAATGTCCAGAGGATTAATTATCACTTTCTGCATTATATTCATAAATAAACTTTGCAGGCATTTCTGGTTCTAGTAATTTTATTATCTCACTGCCGATATTTCACACATCCATGCGTCAACCAATTTCCCAGAGGTCACAGTAAACACGAATCAGTCTAATCACTGATACTCACGAATCCCAAATCAGAAACACATTCCATGGCTATTTGGTTGCTGTCCAGTAATTGCCTAGAATTTCTAGCCCCAAGGAAGCATTGGGAGCAACAACGGGGTATTTGAAAGTTGGCATAAAAAAAAAAAAATGTTGCTGTTTGTTAATCCCTTATTCAGATATGTGTCATGCAGAACTCAGATTTGGAGCAAATTATATTTCTACTACTTATGTATTGCTGTTTCTGGGATAATTAGTAAATTCACTGAGCCTCAATTTATTTGCTGGTGAAATAAGAATTATTTATATCCCAGAAACAGTTGTGAAGACTAAAAACAAAGCTTAAATCAATCTCTGGCACTTAGTATGTAATAAAAATAGGCTCATCATCATCGTCGTCATCTTCATCTCTCATTAAATGATGTATTAATAAACTTCCCTATGTAGAAGGTAGCAAAGAATGCCCCTTCCTTAGCAATTTATAAATGGCAGAAAACTTAAAAAAAAAAAAAGAAGAAGTATGTTATTTAACTCCCATAACTCTAACAAAGGCAGAGATATTTTTCTCATTTTTTAAAGTTCCAGATCATGACAGACTTTATGGGGTGAGTCACAGGAATTTATAAAATAGTCTATAAATACAGCCCTTTAGTGAGATCAGAGGTAGGAATGTCATAATATTACCAGATTACACAATAGAAGGAACTTGATGGGAAATAAATGACTTGGTTTAAAATTCACTTTAAAGCCTACCTCAACTATTTTGGAAAACTCCTACTGCTTCTATAGAAATTTCACACATTTTATTGCCTAGTAGACTTTATGATAACAGCTCCCAAGAATGACTAAACAGCACAAAAATTCTGACTCAACGTTTTGGTCAACAAGCATGCATGAAACACCAAATTTGTACCAAGCACAGTGCTAGATTCCTTTTCCTTCTCCCACCCTTCTTTTCTTGGTTTCTTATATAATGAATAACAGAAAAATAAAACTCTTAGAGACTAGGACATTTTAGGTAACACAACTGTTAAAACAGTGGAACCAGAATGAATACTCACATCTGAGTCATTGTGAAGTCCATGTATATACCAACCACATAAAGGGCTTATCTTATTCATGCATAAAATGGGGATAGTCATAGTCCCTGGCTAACAAGATTGCTGTGAAGATCACATGAGATGATAGGTGTGGCACATTTCACCAACATGTGTGTGCTGACACTGTGACACAGTGTGAAGGGCTCTCAAATCATTTGTATCATGGTGACATCCTTGAATGCCTACACATGTACTCAATTTTCTGAACTCCAAACTGAGACACAACATTCTATTATTTGAATGTTTGTGTGCTTCCCAAAATATGTATGTTGAATCCTAACTCCCAAGGTGATCGCGTTAGAAGGTGGGCCTTTCAGGAGGTGATTAGGATGTGAAGCCCTCACAAATGAAATTAGCTCCCTTCTAAAAAAGACCCCAGGGATCTAGCAAGCCCCCTTCCTCCATTTTGAGGACACAGTGAGAAACTGATTGTCTGCAACCCAGAAGCGGGCCCTTACCAGAATCCGATCACACTGGCATGCTAATCTTGGACTTCCCAACCTTCAGAATTTCAATTAATTCATTTCTTTGTTTTAACTTTATTTTAAGTTCAGAGTTACACGTGCAGGATGTGCAGGTTTGTTACATAGGTAAACGTGTGTCATGGGGGTTTATTGTACAGATTATTTCATCACCCAGGTCTTAAGCCTAGTATCCACTGGTTATTTTTTCTGATCCTCTCCCTCTTCCCTCCCTCTGCCCTCTAGCCAGCTCCAGTGTTCCCCTTTATGTGTCCATATGTCTCATCATTTAGTTCCCTGTTATAAGTGAGAACATGTGGTATTTGGATTTATGTTCCTGAATTAGTTTGCTAAGGATAATGGCCTCCAGCTCCATCCATGTCTCTGCAAAGGACATGATCTCATTCTTTTCTATGGCTGCATAGTATTCCATGGTAGATGTGTGCCACATTTTCCTTATCCAGTCTATTGCTGATGGGCATTTCAGTTGATTCCATGTCTTTGGTATTATGAATAGTGCTGCAATTAACCTATGCATGCATGTGTCTTTATAACAGAATGATTTATATTCCTTTGGGTATATACCCAGTAATGGAATGGCTGGGTCAAATGCTATTTCTGTCTCTAGGTAACTGAGGGATCACCACACTGTCTTCCACAATGGTTGAACTAATTCATATTCCCACCAACAGAAGAAATTATTTTCTATATGGTTTATAAGCCATCTAGTCTATTTTGTATTTTGCATTTTGTATAGAAGCCCAAATGGACTACAAAACAGAGAATAACAGGTGATTGGTTATTTTTCTCGTTTTGGAATATACTGATTTGAACATATCTTAGACACCTAAATATTAAAACACAATGTCTAAGTGAAGATGATTTACTGAATAAGATGATAAGAATTTAGACCTTCCCTGAAAGCGAAAGAATAAAAGCTTCCATCTCCCAAGTTCTTTATAGGCCTATGGATAAACTTTAAATCCACCTTCATTTTCTCACAAACTCTGCTCTGCTGCTTGAAGACATGACCTGGATTTCTGTGTGTTTCTTTAGGCTGCCAAGAGAGTCTTAGTCCATAGGCTACTCACATACTCATAGTCTCCTCACAAAAAAACATGGGTCCTCAGTCTGTTAGCCTGAGTTCTCATCTTAGTCTCATTACTGGCATATATGTGATTTAATCATGTTATTACTGATCCCTCATCTGTAAAATGGGGATTATAACATGATTTATGAACTTTAAATGAGGTAATGCTTATAAAATACTTATTA